GCAATACAAATAATAGTAATAACCTTAAAAGAAAATTTTTTATGATTATTTGCTGATAAATAACATATACTTTTGATAATTGTTCACCAAATTCATCTAATTTTTGTTGTAATGGTGTTTTTTCTTCTTCAGTTTCGGTCATAACCGATCGAATTTTTCCTAAACAAACAAACAATTGGAATACACTATTCTAAGAAATTTATAAATGAATACATTCTGAAAATTTTCACATAATCAAAGGCATAGATAACCTCCAAGATCGTACGCAGAGTACAGTCCTACCACCCACGATCTCCAAATTACGATGAATACTTTATTAATCTTCCTTCTTAATAATCGTCTATAAAAAAAACCCTGTTAGTATAATCCCTGAAGGATTAACATGGAAAAGACGATATAGTTGCTCATGCTAATCATAAGAAAATTGTTTTATTCTACTATCTATTTTGGGAAACATTTCTTCATCATTAATCTTCTAGAAATACAATAAGGAAATAATTCATATATGACAACGAGATTTTATTAATGTTCTTCCTTACCAATTTCAGTATTTAAACCAGTTCCAATAACAATACCTCGACATTTACCAGCTGCAATATTTGTTCCCTAAAATTTATTTTTTTGCATATTAATTATATCAAAAATTTGTAAATTTATTATCATACAGAAAAAAGAATATTTTTTTTATCTTGATTAACAACACGTAGATCAAGTACTGGATCTGTATGTTTAATAACTGAAACACTTTCACCAGTTAATAATGATTGATCAACACGAAGTGTTGTTGAATAAATTGTTGTTATACGTATATCAGCTGGAACTTTATCTCCAACAGCTACTTCAACAATATCTCCTGGTACAAGATCTCGTGCTTTAATTCGTTGTATATGTCCTGGTCGACTTTGTCGAATAACTTGAGCTATTTCAGGTTCATATTCTTTTAATGCTTCAATAGCACTTTCAGCATTTCGTTCCTAATTTATTTCGAATTATATATAAAAATAAAATAAAATTGAATATTTACCTGCCATACACCGACAACTGCATTTGCAATAAGAATAAGAAGAATAACAAGTGGCTCAACAAAAGTTGCTACAAGACTATCTTCTTCTTTATGTTCTTCAAATAAAGCTAAAACCTATTTTGAAAAAAAAAGAATAACTATAAATATGATATGATAAAAAAAAACAACTTACGAATGATATACAAGCAGCAGCAAGTAAAATTTTGACTAGAAGATCATCGAATTGTTCTAAAATAAGTTTCCATAATGGTTTACTTTCTTCAGCTGGTAATTCTATATAGCAAAAATATAAATGAAATATATGATAAATATATATATTTCAATTACCGTTAGGTCCATATCGTTCAAAACTTTGTCGGATACGGTCTTCAGGAAGACCAATATCTTCGTCAACACTATAGAGATCAGCAATTTCTTCTTTGGTTTTTGTCCATGGATAATCAATAATTAGTTTTCCATTTGATGATCGTTTGGCCATACTAATTGAATACTTGAAAATCTAGATTGAGAATATAAGTTTAATAATAATCGCAATACAGATTCATAAATGAATCATCATTGTCATTCAACATAAGATCTAATAAGTACTCGCATGCATTCACGTGGAGACACGCGTCTTGTCACTAGAGAAGGAAAAAAGTGTTGTAATATTAAATGATAAGCATGTCATTCGATCCAATCATTATTAAATAAACTTCAACGAAATATAAAATAATTATAAATTTATTTTTAATAATGACAAATTATAGAAAAGAATTTTTAATCAAATCTTAATTTTGATTTATTTTAATAAACAATAGAGGACGCTAGACAACAGTTTTTATTATTACATGTCAAAATATCATTTATACAAAGAATCAAGTATCCAATTATAATCATAAATTCTTATATTTTATTAAAACTTTTATTTTTATTAGTTCATCTTTTTCTTTCATAAAAGTATATCACAATACATATATTAAAAAAAAAAAAACAAGAAAACATTTCTTGATTGTTTTGTTTTTTTTTCTCTGTTTATAAAAATATAACATCCAACAAAAGAATAAATTCGACTAGATTTTAAAATGTACATTTATACCAGGAAAAAAAAATCTAATTAATGAGCACCAAATGATGTGATATTACAAACATCAATTTTTGATAGACCACTATTATAAAATAAAAGAAATAATTAATTATATTTAATGAATAATTTAAAAATCATACTTATGTGTTTTTGATACACGATAACATTTTTCTGCATATGCAGATTTACCAAGTGAATCAACAAAATCTTCATCATGTGTTATTACAATTAATTGAAAATTTTTTAAATTTGCACGACTTTTAACAATTCTAAAATAAGCAAAAGTTTTATTTTCCTTCTACGATTTATTCTTAGAAAAATAACACTAAGCCAATAAAAATCGACTTAGAAATCAAACTCTCGATAAATGAATGATGAAATTCTATCATTCTACATTGTACAGATCAAATTATAGAAATTTGATATTATAATTCTGACAGAGTAATTTCTGATAACATATCATGCTGGATATTTGAGAAGATTGATTCCAGTAAAATCAAATATACTTACTCAATTAATGCTTGAGCTAATCCATCAATATTTTCAAAATCAAGATTAGTTGTTGGTTCATCTAAAGCAAGTATACCACAATTAAGACAAAATGCTTCAGCTAATGCAAGTCGTATAATAAGTGAAGCAAGAACTTTTTGACCAGCACTACAACGATTTCTCATATCCATAATTGAACCAGATTTAATCATAACAACACGATAATTATATGTTCGACGTGTTTTTGATGCATTTTCATCATCAGCATCCGAACGTATTTCAATAGCATCAATATCTGTACCACGATATGTTGTTCTCCAAAGATCACGTATTATTTTATTTAATTGTTTCATTTTTTGTGTATGATATGTCATCATTGTTTGATCTAAAATTTTATAAAAACGTTCAAGATCTTGTGATGTTATTTCTTCAATTGTTTGTTGTATAAAATGTTTAAGATAACGTTCATGTGCATTTTTTAAATGTTCTTGTTCAAGTTCTTGTTCTAATTCAATTAATTGTTGTTCTAATGTTGCTAAACGTGCTGATGCTGTATGTTTTTCTTTAAATAATGTGTCTTGTGTTGAACGTAATTGTTTTTCTTCACGTATAAGTGAATCTAATCTATTATACAAAAAAAAAAAAAATAATTAATCGTAAAAAGAAAACAAAATTAATTTACTTAAGTCCATGAGTTTTTTCTTCAAGTTCAATAAGATCATTTTGTTTTTGTTCAAGTTCAATTTGACTTTGAAGTAATTTTTGATTATCATTTAATTGTCGATAACGAATATCAGCTCGTGCTAAATCATCTTTATATTGAGCTATAGTTTTTATACATGTTGATAATTCAGATTGTAATTGTTTTTCTTGAATATTTAATTGATCAAATGAAGAACGAAGTTCTTCTAATAATTTAGATGTACGATCTTCAAAACTAAATATTAAATTATAGATTTTATTATACAGATTAAAATTTCTATCCGAATCTCATTTGTTCATTCTATGCTTTTTTTCTCAACTGTCCACAGGAGGAACGGATAAGGTATAAGCAAGGGTGGCCCGACCAAGGGGGTGTAACAGCCTCTCAATTGTCGGAAATATTCGCTACATCCCCTAATGTTGGTTGGTTCAAGTCATCCCTGTGATTGATCGTTCATTTTTGTTAACATACTTATTAATTGTTGTTGTTAATGTTTTTAATTCGTTTAGTTTTTGTTCTAGAATATTGATCTATAGATAAAAAAGTAAAATTTTAAAATAAAAATAATAAAAAAAAATACACACAGATTCTGTAAGTTCGGATAATATTTTTTCTTTTTCTGTTTTTAAACGATTTTTTTCTTTTGTTTTTATATCAATATCAGTCTAAATAAAATAACATTGTAAAGATGAATAGTGTTTTTTTTTTGAATAAAAATTTACATTAATTGGTTCTAATGATATTTTATCAGTTTCAATTTCATCTTTAAGTGTTTGAATATAATTTGTTAATTTATGTAATTGTTCATCAAGACGTTCTTTTTTTTGTATATCAGAACTTAATTTTAATTTTTCATTTTTAAGTTCAGTTAATGATTCACGTAATTCTTGTACTAAATCTTGTTGTGAACGAAGTTCTTTATGTTTACGTTGTAATTCTTTATCAAGAAGATCAAATTGATTTTGTATTTCATTTTTAATTTGTTTTACTTCATCAAGTGAACGTGGTGGTGATTTTTGTCCTTTACCTAGAAAATAAAACAAAGATAAATTTTATGTTTTTCGTAAACAAAATTATTGTGGATTACTGATGAAGGAATATATACAATTGCCGGTTGCAATGAAAACAAATATGTCTTTTTTTGAGTTTCAAGTAGACTCGATTACTGTGTCTTCTTATGATAAACTGTTGTTTTGTTTTTTGGGAAATTGAATATCTCAAGAAAAGACATAAAACTTTCAGATTTTTGATTTTATCGGAAACGCTTTGCTCCCAGTAAACTTTCATTCAGAATAAATCTTTTGTTGATTATTTTGAAGGTTTAATCGATTTTTATACTTATTTTAGAATTTTTCATGCTTAATCTTAGCCTTTCAAAGGAAATTACGTTCAGAAGTATATCCATAGTCTAATCTGTGTTCTCATGAATACAAAAAGCTTTCAGCGCAATCCCTTCCGGGATTAAAATGTGAAACACGATCCAGCTGCTCTTCCTAATTGCAGGGGAATCTTTTAAATTTATCTATTTCGGAGCACATTTCTAAAATTTTGTTTTACCCATTCCTTCAAAACTGGAATCAAAAATTAGTTTATACGTTATAATAAAACGTTGTTGATGCATGGTCTTTGATCTTATATCAACAGTCTTGTATACTCAATGATTGCTTCTCGGAGTGTTTATGAACATATTAGACGTGTTAGTCATCGTCTGTGAGGAGTATTCTATTAGCAACTAATCCTTAATTATAAGGTGAATAATCAGTCCCAAACTAGCCGTTAATTAATTAATTAACTACTTAATTAATTAGCCACTAACCCTAGTTAATGAGGTCTTAATTAGTTATTAACCAACTAATTAATAAAATGTCTGTCACGGTCTGTGATGATTGCTAAGGTGTCGGTCACATCTGTGACGACTCGTTACTAAGGTGTCTATGACAACCGGCTGCTAAGCTGTCTGTCACGTCTGTGGGGGGGGGGGGGGGGTCCAAATTTCTACCCTATATGCTTCAACACTCCTTTTAGATCGTGTTTCACAAAAGCCATCCAAGCAAGCAAATGACTTAAATAGAACTGATCGATCATCAATAGTGTCAATATGATCGAAGAGCAGAATTACAGGTTTTATTTGTCTTTGTAAGCTGAAGGATATTAGAAATTAATTAAGTCGTCATAAAACAATGTCGAACTTATGAACCTGTGGCTAAGAAAATTTGCGTAACTGAAAAAAAATTTCTTACTATCATACGAACGCATCTTATGTTTTCTATTCAATAAGTTCTCTCATTCTGTTTTTTTTCGAGCATTAAAATTCTCCGACCTTATTCAACTCGTGATCACCATGTGTCATTCGGAACGGGCAGTAGAACCCATCGGACTCATCCCAAAGATACGAAATACTTTTTTCCCCCCGCATTTTGTATTCGGTGACTTGCGCATCTCCTGAACCCATTCGATGGGTTCTATAGAGCGGACCATCAAAAAGTAACCTGATTTCGAGATCTGTTTTGTGATATGAAAGTTTTATTTACCAAGTTTTTGTTGACAAACATGAATTTTTGTTTCAAAACCTTTTCTTTCATTAATATATTTATTAAGCATAATAATATCAGTTTTAATTTGTTCACATTGTTCTAATGGTAAACAAATTTTATCATTTAATTCTTGTTCTAAATCATTTTGTTTATTTTTTAATTGATTTATTTCATTATCAAGTTGTTTTATAGAATTTTTTAATGTTGGAATATCTTTTTCTTCAATATCTTGTAATTGATTATGAATTGGTTTAAGATTAAGACATTTTTCAAATTTTTCTTGTAATAATATTAAATCATGATCAATTTTTTGTCGATATTCAGGTCCTTTTATTTGTATTTCCATATCACGAATTAATTGTTCACATTCAGATTGTTTATCAAATTTTCGATAACATAATGGACAACATCTATCATAAACAGAAAAAAGAAAAAACATATGAAAAAAGAAAAAATTTTCATTTACGGATCCGTTTTTAATGTTGATCGAACTTGATTAACAAATTTTTGGTAAGTTTTTTCCATTCCAACAATACTTCCTTTATCATCTTGTTTTTGTTTAACATCATTAGATAATTTTTCTAAATATTTTTCATAGATTTGTCCATTAAGTTGTTCTTGTAAACGATCTGTATATTCATTTCGTAATAAATCTTTACGTTTTAATTCATCAGCTAATAAACGTCGTTTTTCTTCTTTACCAGATAATGTTTGACGTATATCTTGTATTTGTTTTTCTAATATAGAACGATTTTGTTGTAATTTACGATGTTCTTTTTCAAATTGATTATAAATATTTGAATCTTCTTCTGGTATTGAACCTTGAAAAATTGTCGTTAGGATTTCATGATGACGAACTTTACTAAAAGTAGAATATTTGTTTTTTTTTAGAATATCTGAGAAAAATCAAGATAACTGTAGCAAAAGGATGGAGAGGTTATGCTTTTTTTTATTAAGGAGTAGTGTTCGAGATAAAGCGAACCAACGTATTTTTGAAAAAGTTCGAATCAGAACAATTCTTATTAGCTTTTGACTATAGTTTCAATCATCTGCCGGCATGATGAACTGTAGGAAGGTGCGGTTCCATAATTTTTTTTTTTTCGAATCCCGACCCAATCTTTAATTTTTTGTTAGGCCCGATTACACGTTATTGTGGATCCGCAGCTCCCTGATGAGCTGAGGTTATAGATCATCGCAAAAGATTAAGACTGTTTTACAGTATTTGTTATAAAGATGTGCACCGCGCCCTGGAAAACGAAGTGGAGAGAGCTATTACCAGAAAGTATTTTCGGCGAGTTGAGTCTAAGAAGAGTTAGCTTAAGATTATGAGTCAAAATTTGGATATCTGTGCGTCCTAAATTTTTTCGCCATTTCAAACGCTAGAAATGTCGGACTGGTTTTAAAATGTAGCCAAGATGTGATGCTACAACTTAACAGGGCCTGATTTTTCAATTTTTTCTCAGCTTATGTTTTTAGAAAACTCCTCTGACGAAGTATGAAAAACTCAAGGCTACAGATCCAGAACAATTACTTTTTTTTATAAACGTTAATGGGGAAATCGAAAACTCCGACTATGTTAAGCTGTAGAGCTAATCTTTGCGTTCATTATGACACCAAGTCTAACTTTCTAGCCTTTCAACTGGCGGAGAAATCTAGGACGCATGGAAATGTAAAAATCAAAAATCCTATTTTGAGAAAAAACATTATTTTCTTTTGTGGGACGTTCAAAAAGACCTATGTAATATTCTTAAATCTCATCACAAAATCAATAAGCTATAATGCATTGGAAAGTAGACACTTCGCTCTATCTAACGAGCTATAAATCATAAAACTAAAAGTTTGCCATATTTTTCAAAACGAAAAGAAAAAACAAGATTAATATAAATATTTACATTTTTCTAATTTGTTCATCACGTTCTAATTTTTCTTTTTTAAACATTTCATATTCAGTATTAATTTTTGAATTAACAAGTAAATTATCAATTTCATTATTTAAATCTTTAAGTTGAAATTGAAGTTGAACACGTTTTTGTTCATCACTACTAATATCAATTTTTAATTGTTCAATATTTATTTCATTAGATAATTTTTGTTGATATTCATCTTCTTTACGTTCAATACGTTTATTAAGATCATTTAATTTATTTAAATATTGTTCGATTTGTTTTTGTTGTTGTTTTATATCTTGAATTTCTTTTAATGTTTTTTCAACTTGTGAACTTTTTAATTTTATTGTTGATTCAATTTTAATACGTTGTTCTTGAAATTTATCTAAATCTTGTTGTACATTTGTTTCTTTTTGTTGATAAAATAAACGTTTTTCCATTAAAGTTTTTTGTTCAATTTTAATTTGTTTATCAAAATAATTAATTAAATTTGTTTTATCAATTATTTGAGATGAATTTTGAATATATTCATCAATAAATTGTTGACGACGAATTAAATTTGTTTTATATTGTTTTTCTTCAAATTCATATCCACCTAAACGTGTTGTGTCTGATGTACGTTTATCAAGAAGTTTTTTTATTTGACGTTCAGTCGTCAATTTTTTTGCTTCTAACTAAAAAAACAAACATTAATAGATTAATATGAATCAAAAATAAGATTAGTAGATTACGTTAAATCTTACGAAAGAATCTCTTTAGGTTTCAGACATTGCATGAACAAAGTTCTTAATGAGATTAATTGATTCTGCAAACTAATATCCATTCCGATGAATAGTGCAGTTCGTTGTAAGTTGAATAACTCCAGCTAAGAAGCAGCTAGAGATCTGCAGTTTTCAGTTTTGGAAAGAGCGACATCACACCGAATCTCAAGGTTGCCTACCTGTGAAATTTTAGCAATTCACCTAAGCGATGAAAATCCATTTGGTAAGGCAGACGATTGTCTACTATTTGCCACCAATCTCAGATTTCTAGCTTTTACTGTTTGGGAGCTATGGCCGTTTTACTGAATTTTTGCCTACAAATAGGTCTACTACTGTCTATTAAAAAAAACTGGGCGTGAATGTTTTTGCAATAATTCGATAACGGTAACAGCTAGCGACCTGAGGCTTTCACCAACTGAAAGAGTAGAAGTTGGGACATCTTTTTCTCCGATAATGTATAAGACGAAATCCTTTTAAAAGTAATGATCTTCGAAAAACATGCAAAAGAATGCATGAAAATGGCTTTCCATCTAGATGAAATTTTGATTTAGATAGAGGGACTTGAAATCTATAGTTCAAGATACAATGCCCTTTTTTACTTTTCATTACATTTTTATCGAAATTCCAGGCTATTATAAGCAAAGTGCGAAAATTTAGTAAAAAAATCAACAAAATTCCCTATTATTTGCGCATGTAAATACATGATTCCATTTGCTCGATGTTAGAATGTAATAGAAGAACCATTTGCATTGTATCTTAAACTATAAATCCCAGACCCCTCTATCTAAATCAAAGGACAAAATCAAAATTTCATCTAGATGGAAAACCATTTTCATGCATTCTTTTGCATGTTTTTCGAAGATGATTACTTTTAAAATGATTTCGTCTTATACATTATCGAAGAAAAAGATGTTCCAACTTCTACTCTTTCAGTTGGTGAAAGCCGCAGGTAGCTAGCCGTTACTGTTATCGAGTTATTGCAAAAATACCCACGACCAGTTTTTTTTCACAGACAGTAGTCATTAGAATCGCCTGAAAGTTTCGGCCAAAATAAACGTTCTTTTATTTCTCGAGATATTGAATTTTCAAGATATAATCACTTTTCACCGACAAATCGAATTTATTTGAAAATCACAGATAGGCAACCTCCGAGATTCGATGTGGCAACGCTTTTTTCATATAAAGTTGATACCACTCTTTCCAAAACTGAAAACCGCAGGTCTCTAGCCAGAATTATTCAACTTACAACGGAGTGCACTGTTCATACAAAGTCTGAAGTCGAAAGTCAAGCAAACCATTCTAAACATTTCTATTACTTATTAAATGAACATAGTCCCAATCGAAAAGCGATTTCTCGTCAGTATCTCTTGATTACACCACTACTATATTTTTTTTTGTTATTAGTAATGCTAAAGACATGAAGACTCAGAATAACATTTTCGATCTGAAACTTTTAGAATTGTTAAATTTAGTATAAAGAAAAGAACAGTTAAGTATAATAAAAATTTTTAGTCTTCAATTATCTATTGAACTGATTTTGAAGAAGACCAAAAATGATTGTATATTCTTTGTGGAGTCTGTATTATATAATGCAAAAGAAAAAGACAAGAGTTCTTACATCTTGAAGTTCACGTTTCTTTTTATCTTGATCACGTTGAAAATTAGAAATTAATAATTTAAGTTCATCTTCTGAACCTTGAAATGGTTCATCAATAATTGTATTGAATTCACGAATTTTCTTTTTTAATGCTTCACATTCATTTGTAAGACGATCTAATAGACAAGAATAATAATAGAACATATACCTTTTTTTTTTTTTTGACAAGAACATACCCATACGTCGTTGAAAATCAACCATTTTCGAACTTTCTTTAGCAATAAATTCCAAACGAGACTTCAAAAAAAAAAATGAAATTTTAAAATGTTCGATCATTTCACATAACTTACATCAATAGGTTCAAGTTTAAGTTGAATACTTTCAACATTAACTTTTGATGTTTGTCGACGTTCATCAATTTCTGCATATTGTCTTTTTTTCTATTACAATTAACTATATATTTTTTTTTTTATTCTAAAAGTATAATATTTGACATACTTGAACTAACATATCACGATATGTTTTTAAATGTCCAATTTCTGCTCGACTAATTTTAACTGTTTGTAACTACAAAAAAAAGAAATTCGTTTGTTTTTTTTTTCAAAAATAAAATCTGTTCAATAAAACTTTTTCTGTTCGAATTTTTCGAATTAATTCAAGTGCTTTCATATATTTTGTTGCAGCAAATATATCATCAAATTTTGTTTTTAATTGTTTTCCTTCACTTAATGGCCTTACAAAAAAACAAAAAAATTATATTTAAATAAAATAAAAAAATAATCTTCTCAACAAACCAATTTGATTCTTCTTGATGACAAAAAATAACATTTTCAAGAATAGCTGTCGATACACCAAATGCTGTAACCATTTCTTTATCAAGTTCAATACATTTTGATGTTATTTGTATTGGTTCACCATTAATACCTTCACGAATAATAATACCTTCAAGAGTTCTTAAACTAATATTTGTTTTCTATGAAAGAAAATAATCTTTTGTATTTTTTGAAATCAATTAAATTTTATCTTTTACTTTTTGTGTTGCAACAAGTGTACGTTGAACTTGTACATTATGTCCTGTAACATCTTGAAATAAAAGTCTTATTTGACCACGTACTTCTGTATCATGAGCTACTTTTGGATCATGTACAAATGCTCCACCTGTTTTAGCACCTGGTGGCATTATACCTGTTGCCATATATTTTAAACATTCAATAATTGTTGTTTTACCCGATCCATTTGGACCGACAATAACTGTTAATGGCGAAAAAAATGTTATAACTTGTGTATCTTGATCTCGATTTCCAAAACTACGTATGCCTTGAATTGACATTTTATGTAGACGAGACATGATTTTATTCTTTTTGAAATAAAAAAGAAGAGTAAATTTATCAAAACTTTAAAACATTAAAAACCAATGTAATTTCACAACTAATCCAATGAAAAATAATTTATTATACAAAACTTTTTTTTCTTTCATAGAAATATTAATGATTGTATAGTAGAAATTATTTAAAATAATAATTTTTATTTTATTTTATTAGGTAAAGATAATATGAGGTCGCTAATCAATACAATCTTAATTCGACCAATCAAAAACAAAAGATATTTTCAATCAATCCATGAACCGAACAAGATAATTCTCGTATTATATATAGATTGACCGTTCAAATTGGACGATTTTCGATAGAAATAGAGAGGAAAAAAAACCAGTTGCGACCAATTTTGTTTTGAGATCAGTTTGAATGCACTACGCCGTACAATAGAATATGAACGTTGAATTACAACAAAATAAGTTGTTTCTTTTTTTTTTTTGGTAATTCAATAGAGACAGATTGAAGATCGATTACGATCAATATTCAAACTTTTTAAATTATGGACGATTTCGTTTTAGTTTCCAAATGAAAATCAATGATAAAATAAACACAAACAAATAGAACATCGATCTCGTCCATCTACTATTAGTCGTATGAATAGAACCCTTATCGTTTCTTGATTTGACTACTAAGATATGTGTTCAGAATTCTCTTCTGAAGTAAGATTGAATAACTATTATCAGATTGTTTTAAATAATGATTGTACAGTATACTATTCCGATCGAAACAGTTTTTAATAACTTAGTTTTGTTTGTTTTATAAAGTGCGTTATTTACTTCTTTGATAGATTTTTGAAAGTATTTTTTGGTCAATACCAATTTCCATAAGTACTAACTGGTCAGTAGAAACGCATAGATGAGATTTCGCTTATTGTAATATCTCATTCAATATTCTATAATAATGTTGAGTTAAAACTATTCTAAGATACAAAACTAAGAGTTGCAGCATTTATCGTTATTTCACTTTGTACAGACACAGATGTGAATTTTTATACAAAAATTACTAATAGTTGTTCAATCTTACATCAGAAGGAAAATCTGAATACATATTCGAAACGAGCGATACATCGTGATTCTGCCTCTAACCGATTATCTTCAAATGACCGGAAATTGAGTGAATATTTTGTGCCATAGATTACATTAGACAGAAAAATCACTAAGATAATAATATAATCAACAGAGGATAATAAATCTTCCAATAGTCTCTTTAGAGTGCTTTAGTCAGCATAGGAGCGGCGCTCCATCGAAGACCAGATTAACTCTCTCGAAATTTGTCGTACGTGTTCTGTCTGCGTTCTCAAAAATAGGTGTTCGCCAAGAGGTAACAAGCGAAAATTCCGTACTTCAGTGTTATATAAAATGAACTCAAACTAATATATTTTTCATACACACCTTAGTAGTAGATTTGAATTAGATAAAAAATTATAGAAGATAAGTTTGATAAAGCCCTGAAGTAAATTGTTTGTTGAAAAGAACTTGAATTTTATTTTATTTTATTTTTTTTTCTAGATTAGTTTTATTACAAGGAATAATCATTATGGGTAGTAGATTATCTGCTTTAATAGATACAGTATATAATTCAAAACGAAGAGAATTTCTTGGTAGAGATGGAGCTCGATGGGGTAAATTAAAATATTAATTTAGATCTATATATTTATTGATCTTTTTTTTTTTGTTAGGAAAATTAGGAATTTTTTATTTTTTTTTCTATCTTGGTTTGGGTGGATTTTTCTGTACAATGTTAGCTGTATTTATGGTATTATCACCACGAGATCGTCCACGTTATCATGCAGAATCATCATGTATGCGTACGCGTACAATTCCTCTTTCACCTGGTTTGTATTATTAATAAAAATACATAAATCTTTTTTTTTGAAAAATTAATTTTAGGTTTAGGTTTTCGACCACAATTAGATATAGAAAAAAATCTTATTTTAATTGATAAAAGTGCTCCAAGAAATAGATTAGATCCTTATGTTAAAAGTCTTAATGAATATCTTAGAATTTGTAAGTAAAATTTTTATTTAATTGAGAACAATTTTATCTTTTGTCTTTTTTTTTTTTTAGATTATTGGAAACAAAATAATAATAATGGATTTAATCAAACAAAGAAATTTAAAATTTCTAATCCAGGTGATTGTATACTTCAAAATCAATATGGATTTTCTAATGGAAAACCATGTATACTTGTTAAAATGAATAAAGTAAAGAAAAAAAAAATATATATATAAGAAAATAAATAAAATCATATTTAATTATAGATTGTTAGTTTTATACCAAAACCAGGTTATTTATTAGAAGATGAACATGCATTTAAATCAGCTGGATGTCGATCTAAATCTAATGCTATTAATATTCATTGTTATGGAGAAGTAATTTATTATTTAGTTTCTATAGAAAAAGAAAATCATGTTTTTGTTTTCTTTTATTTAGTATCCGACTGATGCTGATAATATTAAGAATATAACTTATATATCAGAGAATGGTCATGATAATAATTGTGGTTCACTTGAAACTAAATGGTTTCCTTATGAGTAGGAATAATTTTTTTTTTTTGTCATGATTAGATAGAGCTTATCGAGTTATCTTGGTTTGACAAGATCCGAACAATGTTTTTGTAGAAAAAAGTCTATAGAAATTGAGAGACACCAAAAGTATCAAGTCTCAGTATTCATTCGAATATTTTTGGATTTGTCATCTGGTTAGAAAAAAAAACAAAATATTAACCGTTAACTCGACAAGCTCTATCGAACTATGTTAAAACAACACTTTATAAAAGAAAATATTTTTTTAGGGGTAAAAAAGAACGTGAAGATGTATATCAAGCACCATATATATGGGTTCAATTTAATGAAGTTAAACCAAATGTATTAATCAATGTTATGTGTCGAATATTTGGTGAAAATATTAATTTTGATAGAAAAGCATCTCGAGCTCTAACACGTTTTCAAATATATATAAAAGATATACCAAAACGTATACCATCAAGTAAAATAGGTGAAATATGAATCAATTTCTTTTCTTATTGTGCAATAATCTCAATGCAATTTTCTTTCATGTTTATCTTTTTCTGTAATTTTTTCATATTGTATTTACATATAAATAGTATCAACTTAAGATAATTAATAAACTTTTTTTTTTAAATAGAACTGATATGTATTTTCGAAGAAAATAATGAATGTAAAATTCTCAGTCGATATTTTGCCTTTTTCTCCTGTTTCAATGACGAGAATCAATTTTTGAAGTCTTTCTCAAAATACGTTTGTAAATGATGTTCTAAATAGTGCAATTTTTGATTTTTATGCAGATAAAAATTTACATTTAAGGAGTTAAGGACGACAGGAAGGGATGTATTGATTTGCTACAGTTGCCATATGACCAACATACAAAAATTTCTATTCGAAATGCAGAAATAAATAAGACTAATTGTTTCTCTGGGAGTCAATTATGTTGAAAAACAATTACATAGGATACTCCAAAAGTTTTTTCACTCACTCTCCAGACTAATAATCAAAGATTGGTTCTGGTGTGTTTTTTTCAAAGTACTGTTCTTTAGCTTTAGCTCACTTGTGCATCTGAATAAAGCAGTCATCGAAGCAATTTTTGGAAATCGTCTTTTGTCAGTGTTAATGATTCGTTATAAGACGTTCAATATTGCAATTTCATCGTCGAATTGAATTCTATGTAGTTGATTTTTTGAGTTCCAAAAACAGGAAGAAGTCATACAATCAGTTTCTAATGATATAGATTTGGTTAGTCCAAATTTCATGAAGAAAATCAGGATCATTTATTTGCCTGAACTTACGTTCCGATAAACTTTGGTTGGTCACGGATCAGTTTTTGACACCTGCAATTTTGACTGCTCTTTTGTTTTCGAATCATAATGATGGTACCATGATTCATCGCCAGTAACAATGCCAAATATACGATGGAATCGACTCGCTTCACATCGTTTGAGTAGTTGATAATAAAATTGACGATACGACTGTTTTTGATCATTGATTAGTTGGTGAGGCACTCATTGAGCACAAACTTTGTGTTGCTTCAAATAATCGTGAATGATTGAATCGACCGTTCACGAACCAATGTCTAGGATATTTTCAATCTGCTTGTATATTGAATGAGGATAATTTTCAATTCTTGCTTGGACAACATCAATTGTTACTTCGTTGACAGTGGTTAGAAGACCTCCTGAACAGGCAGCATCTTCAATACTGCAGAGCTGGGCAAATACAAATACAATCTGTAGTGTCATGAAATCATATACTTCTGTCTATCATGCATGTAGCGTTATATACTAATATCGGCACCAGAAATCAGTGCACTCGGATGTTGTTTGAATAATTTTCGATAGGAATAAGTTAAAGACCTGTGCTTTTCAGCAACCGATGGAAGATTATTGGGAACACAGTTTTATATAAAAATCAAGGCTTAAATAATCAGGTACAATAGGAGTGATTATTGAATCACTAGAAGAATAGGCTCGTTATTTGGTGAAATCTGAGCAGAACAAGCTGAAACTTTCAGTATATATAGTCCTAGTGTAGTCCAATCTTTCCTAAAAATATTATCGATAAATTTTGTAATGATGAGGAATGGTGTGCCAATCATCATCTGGTCTTACATAAAGCTCTCATTCACTCGATATATTAGAAAATGACCTCAAATTTTGTGTAAATAAATACCATAATCTAGACTTCATATCTATGCAATAACATCGTACTTTGATCGTAGAAATGTACGGAAACAGCCAAAATTCGACGAAGAAATGATTTTCATATAGTAAGTATTCTACAACAAATCTTCCCAACTTTATCAAGAGAAATGCAGAACTTAGTAATGTTTTCACCGTCTCTTCTCGTTCAAATAATCAAACTATGATATAATTGCATAGATATGAAGTCTAGATTATGGTATTTATTTACACAAAATTTGAGGTCATTTTCTAATATATCGAGTGAATGAGAGCTTTATGT